CTTTGCATCCTTCCATCTGATGTAATGAATTGGTGGTTATGGCCTCTTCAAAGAGATCTGATATAGTCTCCATTTCCTCAAAATTGCAGTTGTGTGAAATCAGGTGGTACACACTGCTTTCTTCTCTCCCTCTGTTACTACCTTGTATATCTCACTTACATATTTTGCGTAGAAAAACAATCCCAAGTCCGGCAGCCTTTCAAATATTTGAAACTCCATTGTACCCTCCTTAATACCTTTTTTGCCAAACAAATGCCCTTTGTTTTCTTAACCATTCCTCATACAACTTGCATTCCAACCCCCTTATCTCTGTTGCTCACATTCAGATCCTCCCACTTTTTTTCCCTCATTCCTAAGTTACGGTGCCCAGAACGGCACACAACTCCAGTTGAAGCCTAACCAGTACCAAGTTGAGTGGTACTATTATCCCCTGTATGTTACATACAACATTTAGATTAATGCAGCACAAAATTTCAATTACTGTTTTGTGTCAACATTTCACTGCTGACTCATGTTGAGTTAGTGAGTCAGCAGGGTTCAGGTATCTTTTCTGTGCAAATGTTTGTCAAGTTTCTTCTTAACTGTATCTTTGATCAGCTAAATAGATTAAACTCCTGTAGTCTCAGTGCAATACATAACTTTCCACTACAAAGCATTTTTGTAGTTTTTCTCTGTATCGCTCAGTTTTCTCAGTTTTCTTTTTGAAGTGCTGAGAACAAAACTGAACACAGTATTACATTAAGGGTGTGTCTACACATCACCCTGTGGTGACCTAGCAACACACTATGTCGCCATGTGGCTCACTATGGTGATATAGCAATCACATGTCTATGCATGATCACCAGCTACATTGCCAAAGCAGTGCACTCCCCAGGTATAGCACTCTGCTCCAGGGACATAGTGGGGAAATCTAACGGTGCTCCGCATGCATGGCACAGTAACCACCTATACTGCGCTGTGCTTTAGTACTTCCAAAAGGTACTAAAGCATGGTACTATAGCAATGTCACCATAGGGTGACATGTAGATGCACCCAAATAGTCTCAAAGGCACTATATATATACAAAGTAACTCCTCCCTCCTCTTGCACCAAAGGATCACTTTAACCATTTTAGTCACAGCATTAGACTGAGAGTTTATGTTCATCTGGTTACCTCTTGTAACCTTCAGTTTTTATCCAGTCTTTCTAGGATGCAATATTGGGGCTTATCACATGTCATGTTGATCCCTAATAATTGTTTTGTGGTTCACTTTATTCCTCAGTAAATAGAAATTAAACCAAGGCAGTTTACTCTGAAAGAAACAAGTGCTGAATCGCTATGTTTTAGATTCTACTTGCTGTAAGGATAGAATAGGCACACAATACAGTTACTGCAGGCTAACTTGACATGGTAAATTGTTCCCACTCCTTAGGTTGGCATAATTGTTTCATCTGTTCATATCTTTAGCAGAGATGTTCTGATTCTTAGTTCTATTAAATAGAACTCTTTCATTTGTAAATTTAGTTTAAATTTACATTTTCTCTATTTTAAAATAATGAGCAGGCCAGTGGTATTGTCTGGAACCAATGCAGAGGAGTAAGTAGGATATGACAGGTTATGTTGTGCAAGAGTTGCCACACAGTAAGAAAATAGACATTTACATTTATCTGCACTGAAGAACATCAGTCTACTTTGCTACTTCATACCTCAAATTCTCCTCTCTAGATTTCTTTGTAAAGCCATGTAGGAGTGACAGATATTCTAGCTATTTACTTCGTTCTCCTATATTACATTTCTTTGGTCTTAACTACCGGATCCTAAGATACTTGTCTCAGCTGGTTTAGGCCTTTAGTTTGAGATAATAATTCACAGGTAACAATAAAGCTAGCATTAACAACTGAAACAAAATTCATCTTGGTGTATAGTTTAGCTCACATGCAACTTACTTAGAGAACATCTGACAAAGACATTTCTTCAGGGGGATTCCACACTTCTCATCTTTATTCCAAAAAATGTAAAAATGCTGTAGTAATTGACCATGCAATGACAAAATAGATTTACAGTTGTTTTGCTTGCTGGTATTTGGCTCTCTGTCTTGTAATTTCATTCCTTGTTGCATTCATGGTCATTTTCATAGCTGTATAGTAATAATCACTGGAAACATAAAGACAATACAGTGGATTTTGCTTTATAGAATCACTGGTTAATAGAATCACACGCTTTTTTGAAGCAATATGGGAAAACTAAAACCATTTGTATATTATTGCATGTAAAAATCACTCATATTAGAATCACAATTTTTAGTTTTTGGATCATTTTACCTGGCAGAGTTCCAGCCTGCAGGGGGCTGGGAGGGAGCAGGAGGAGGGCAGTCAGGCAAGGGGTACCATGTGCATGTAAAGTACTTGCTTATTCAAAATCATATCTGGTATGCTTTCCTTTGTAGAAAAAAAATACCTAATGTTAAGAACTTCATGTTCAGTCGGGCTGTTGTCACCGTGTTATTGTATTAATTGCCTTTTCACTGCTACAGTGATCAAGAGAAAAAAATGAGCTTAATGCATAGGCAGAGCACTCAAAAATAAGCTAATTGTAAGACAGGATGTAAAAGGAAGCAGTTGTCAACTTGACTATTCTGTAAACTGCATGATGAAGCATTGGTAAAGCTTGTTGCTGACATTTATTAGATTTTCCAGGGATGCTTTTGCTAGTCTATTATAGCAGCAAAGAGTTGTAATGCTTCAAGCGACTCAGTTTTTTTGTAAATTGATATAATTTGCTTTCAGTTGGTTTGTAGAAGTGTACTTTAATGTAATCCATAAAACGTGAGTGCTTGTATACATTCACTAGCTGAACATTGTACATCTCTTTAAGCTAAACTGATGTAATTTGAAGCATTTTTGGTGTGGCTTGTACATTTGTAGTGATCTCTTCCTAATTTAGTCCTTATCTACCATATGCATTCTGGCCAGTTTTTGGACACTGAAACAAACTGACTTCAATAAAACTAGCACTTTAAGTACTAGTTGTCACTTTGCTTCTGACTATATGGAGCACTGCACTTTTATAAGTACTACAAGCCCTGGATTTTGACCCATTTATTTTCCCATTATAAGGTATTAAAATATAAAGTGGCCATCAGAATTTTAGGTGAAGATGACCACAGCCTGGTGCCTGAGTTCAGTTAATTGTATGTTAGAAGTCACAAATTACCAAACAAAAATGATCCAAACATATTCATGTAACTTTATGTATTGTTAAAAAAATCTTTGACATCCAGGCAAATAGTTTCTCTAAATGTTGATGTCATCAGGAAAAGCATGCGCGAGGCTTTTAAAAACAAAAAATATAGGAGAAACCTTTAAAAAAAAAAAAAAAAAGAAAAGAATAACAACAGTGCAAAACTATGTATTTTAAATTAAGCACAGACCAGAAGCTGTGAAATAAGAAATGCAGTTAAAATGTATGGTTACATATGGTTGCTTTTGGTACCAGAATTTTCCCTTTGTTACCAACATAAGTAGGATGGACGATAAAAATTAAAACCTCTTAAGGTTGAGTTTGTTAGATGTGGTATTAGTATAAATTGTGCTTAAGCCATTACAGTAAAATCTGTTAATTTGTCTATTCTGGAAGTTCAGTTTAGATGTATTAGGAACTAAAACAGGTGTTTTTAAATGAAAGAACTAATACTTGGAGGGATGGAGTGTAATGCATAACAGCCATTAGGTCTGCTGTTGAACTTGAGGAGCAGAGTTAAGAATGTACATTTTTTGGTATGAAGTAAGTTTGACGCACATATTCTTTACAGTTTGTGTGATCTCCAAACGTGCATTTCTTGGAGGAAATTTATTGGCAAAACTATTTAATTTGATCATTTGTTACCAACTGCTAAACATTATGCTAATTTAGAATGCTTGAAAATAAAGTAAAACTCTTCAGTTGTAGTATTCGCATTTCTAATATACCCACACTGCAATCTCAAGAACTTGATAATGTTTAGCTTCTTTAAAAAGTGAAACCTTACACCCCCCCCACCTGCTGCACGTGCAAGTGTCTTAATTAAGAAGGCATTGTCTTACACTCTAATGCTATGGGTATCTAGATCTTAGTATGGGACATACATTCATCCCAATTTACTCGTTACTAGTTGATCAAGTCTTACTCAGGCAATATCCCTTTTGGAAGTTCTCCCCTTACAGTATCTGCTGGATAAAACAGAATAAGGTAAATTGTATGATCAGTCTAAACTGTTAATTGGGTTTCATACATACTACTAAACAGCTTATATCATAGTGATAAACTTCAAACAATAAAATAATAAATGTTGTTAGCCTGAATGCTGTAATAGAACTAAAGAGTAGATACATCATTTATGTTTATTTTGTTGCAGCAGTTGAGATTTTTCGTGACAAGCCCTAGATTTGAATAACTACTTGCCTTGGCTTTGATTGGAGCTTCCTGCTGTAGTAGGATTTCATAGTGGTTTGGCATGTGACTAGATTTTGATGCAATTAAAAAACATTCAGCGATTAAATATTATCAGCCTAATAGAAATCTTACTTTTTTAATGTTGTGTTCTATATTTTTAGCAGCGCTGAAACCAAGTAGTTAGCTTTTATTTTATGGCCCAAGTGCGTAACACCTGGAAATCTTGGTATATCTTAGCAATCAGCTCTATTGCAAGGGCATTTTCACAAAGCACCTATATCGGGGGTTGTCAACTTAGGGTATGCATACCCCTGGGAGTACTTGAGAAAACCCTAACAGGTATGCACGGGCAGGGACAGAGTGCTGCCATGCACCATTCCACATTGCTATGCAGGTGCCCCGGGCAGGGGAAGCTCACACGAAGCAGCTGCCACTGCTCTGCATTTGGCCACTGGGGGTACACTGCTCTGTGTCCAGCCACCAGGGGTACACTGATCCAAAACAGTTGAAAATCCCTGACCTCTATAATTTAGGAACCTAGATCCTGTAGGCTTTCAGTGGAACATGGGCTCCAGAAATCTTAGCTGCTTTTCAAAAAAGTTCTGTGTGAGCTAAATAGGATAAAGGAGAACATGGAGCTGTTCTTCTGAAGATGAAGTTTCTGCCCCCTAAATTAAGAATCTTCTTTGACAAGTTAAATTTACAAGTTCTTTACTTATACCTTACACATGAAGCCCACATATAATTTAGAGCAAAACACCCTGTTCAGCAGAACACTTTCAAAAAGAAAACACATCGAAAAAACACGTGTAGAACTATCGGCAAAAAAATTATAATGGCACACAATGTTTCACTGTAGTTTACCACATTTTTTCTTTTTAACAATATATTATGTCATTTCCATTTTCTTTAATAATTTTCAAAGTATTTTCAAAGCTGCATATATTTGTGAAATGACATTGAAATGAGTCAAGTTTATCAGTAACCTGTGTATAGCAGGTAGCAAATTCAAACATATTCTTTCCCAACAGCACTTTTTCAGTAGGATATTATTAGCTGAAAGGTGTTTTAAAGTCATGGCATGAAGAATCGTAAATGTAAACCCAAGTACATTGTGATGCTAATTAACGGACTTTTCTGAAATGTATGTGATGCTTAATATTTTTCTTAGAAAGTTTTGTTTAATGTTAGATCATTGTTCTGAAGGATATTAGTCCTACTGGAATTAAAATAATGGAAATAAAATGCATGTGTTACAAGTGTAGAAATGGTGGAGAATTACATGTGAACCTACTGTACGATACTGATTCTGTTTTCAAACAATCTGTTTTGCTGTTCAATAGTTGACATAAAAATGCAAATGTACTGTAATTTAGCACTTTTCTAATGGGCCCTGTTCTCACTAAACAAGTGATAGGAAATGGTTTTGTTGTGGAAGATGTAATCATGCTTGCATGAGTACATCAAGGCTTTGCCCTTCTTGATGTGTAAACACAACTTCCATTAATATTAACATATTAGCCCTTAAAATACTAACTCTTCCTATGCGTTTGTTACACCACATCTTAAAAATATTATAATTGGCCTAAATGCAGTTAAAAGTTCAGAGTCTCTTTACATGATCTTTTTGCAGAAAGATATTTCACTGTCAAATAGGTAGGCAGGTCAGGGTTGCCAGGGACAGAGGTTGTACATTGCACTCTCATTGTTCAGAGAGCTAACTAGTATCATTGTGAATTTGCCTTTAACTTCTTCTCTCCCCAAGTCCCTGATGAAATGGGATTGTTTCTTGAAGGACTGGCTGCCTTTCTTGAGTCAAGACTTCATATATCCTGATTAACAATATTATCAATCTTGTATAGCACTGCCATACAGAAATGAACGTGGAGGTGCTTATTCCCAGCACGTGAAATAAAATGCCATGCCATGCAGTACACTTTTACATTATCAACAGAGTGAAAATGAACACATTAAACCTGGTTTTCTGTTTTCCTCTTTGTTGTTAATAGTAGCATCCATGATCATGGTAGTCCTGTTTAACATTGTATTGCCTGGAGGCCCCTGTTTGCTTGTAAGCTCTGAAAATACAGATGCAAGACTGGGGTAGAGACAGGGATATAACAAAGGAATGAGTAAGAAGTGTCTGGTTTCAGGAGTCCTGGCTTACAAGAAGGTCATAGCCACTAGGACTGGTAGGGGTGATGTCAGCAGGAACCACAGCCAGCAGAACAAACAAAAAAAATCTAGTCTTGGAGATGCTGCATGGGAAGAAGCAGCAACAAGCTTCTGTCCTTGCTGGGCGTATACTCTGTTGGAGACTAGTCTGAGACAGGTGCCCATGTTTATGGAGTTACAAGGATCTCAGTGGTGGTACAAGGGAGGAGGGAAGAAGATCAAGAGTCCCATGGGGGCTAGGTGAGATGCTGTTTGAATGACACAGACCTGATTGGGAGATAGGCCAAGATGTTGAGATGACAGCAAAATACAAATTTGTTGGCAAAGGGATAAACTTGAGAGTGATCCACTTAAATATGGGAGCTAAAAACATGCTGGTGGACAAGGCATCATGAGATAGGATGCGAAGAAAAGGCAAGATCAAGGACAAACAAAGGTGACCTGAGAGAAGCAGATGAGACAGAAGGCAGCAAAGGAGGGATTTGGATGTGTGTAAACAGCAGGTTTAAAAATACTGTAATGGAGGGAGGGCAACAAGAGAAGTGCCAATAGTAGCAATAAAGGAGGGAGGTAGAGGTTGCAGAAATGAAACAGGTTAAGAGGTGCTGTGGACAAGGGCTGAGGTAGCAGCAAATGGGGAGTAGGAGGAGAGTGTGATTTAAGAAGATGGGTCCACAAGCAGAGTGGCAGTTGTAGAGGTCCTGGCCATTTTCAATCCTAGTTATCTGAAGTTCCTGTAAGCTATAGTGCAAGGCAGAAGACAGTGATGTTGTCTTTGTACTGTCATTTGGCCCTTGTGAAGCTCCAGTATCCTGGGGAGTAGGGGCAGGCTCTCTCCCCCTAGGAAGCACTCATTTCCCTAGGCTTAGCTCCCTTCCATGGAGTGGACACCATCCTGCTCACCATACACCAATATGTTAAAACATAGAAACCTTCAGATTCAGACTGAGGCAGGATCTCCTCCACACCAGGCATCAGATTCAAAGGGCACTCCCTCACCATACAGACTCCATGAAATAACACAAAGAGTGAGTTTCAAGAAAGCTAAGGCTGGAGGTGGGAATGAGTTCATCTTTATATTTTGTAGTTTATTTTTGTTTCTCTCAGTTCCTTCACCTCCAAATCTGCAAGTTAAAAGTTTCGTATATGATGCTGCCAAAACACACACACACAAATTTGGGCAGGCTTTCTGAGACCATGTAAATATCAGACCCTGAATTTCAAAGGAAGGGAGGAGATAAACTACCAGCCAAGTTCCTCTCATAGGAGAAATTAAATCTACAGCCTATCCTAGTGTTAACAGGGTACAAGGTGTTACTTGTCACGTACTGTACTGAAAGGTTTCATTGATCAGTGACTGTATTGTACTGTATGAAAAATCATCAATTGCCTTGTATTGTTTATAATGGACTGTACCATATACTACACAAATTTCCATATTCCAAGTTTTTCAATGATGCATGTTGCCAGTTAGGTCCTAAAACTATGTGGTGCTAATTCTTCCATATCCAATGGTGCTTTTGTGGATGCTAACTGCAGACATGCTGAACAAAAGCTTGAAGTTTAAAAGTCTTTCTTGTCTGTTTGTATAATGTAAACACACACACAATGATGATAAACTTGAATTTGTTTCAAAGTATCATTGACAATCTAATGTTTTCTATGTGTGCTTGATTTGGGTTTGGAATTGTTTTTTTTCCAGAAAGCAGCTGTGTTTCTACACAATACACACTGGTATTTCTTCTAGGAGATGATTTCACCTCACAGGGCCAAGAATCTGTCCAACTCCTCAGGTAGTTGAAGTTGGTTGACCCTTTACCTGCTTTTTGCACCAGTTTCATTCACATGAATTTAGCCATTTGTTTTCTGATGTGAATAGGGTGTACAGGCCTAAAAAGGACTCCATCTCTTAAGCATTAACAGTCCTCATACTGCCTCAGCATTGTGCATGTCATGTAGCTTGGTCTTCTGCTTGCATCACAGTTGCATGATTGTGTCTATGCCAGGTCCTTACAACAACTTCAGTCTTATTCAGAAGCAAACCAAAGAGCACATAGTAGTGCACCTCTTGCAGCCATGCAAAAGAGCTAGGTGCTTTGTTCATTCAGTGAGTGAAAGGTGGGAATAGGAATTCTTCAGAGACTGCCCACTTAGCCAGAAAGGAAAGAGAGTATTTTTGCAGCTGCTGTTTGGGCCTCATGCAGGAGTAATACTGGCAGCTTGCTCTACTCTGGGGTAGAAAGAGTGGTAGTCACTGCACAGTTCCCTGGGTGAATACTGAGGAGATGGAAAATTTACCAAGACAAATTAGGAACATATTTTGTGTATTGTATAATGAAGAAGTGTGATAGTAAAGACGTTGGGTGGATTTGTTGGCAGCACTAGAAATTCACCCTGGAAGCCATTATTTGAGCATTGCATATAGATTCAAACGCATTTCTTCATCTTTTTAATGCTACTTCTGCCCATTCAAGGTAAGATGGCTTAGTCACATGTAAGGTCTATACCCCCAGCTGTTCTGTCATATATGAAGTACAAATGAAGAGAAAACTTGGTTTTCACTACTTATTGTTCTTTAGTCTTTGTGGACACGTGTCCCACAGATAAAAATGAGAAGCAGCTGTCTAACTTGTGAAATTGATGGCTTTCAGGAGTATCAGATCCAAGTAGCTAAGTTTGTCACAGCTTTGACTGTCAAATCAATGCTTCTCCCAATCTGTCAAAATAAAGGCAATGTCTTTGGTAGTAATAGATTTTTTCTTATGAAAATCGATAGCCAGAAGCCAAGAAAAGGAAATGGTAGATAGGAGACTTAAAACTAACTAGAAAAGGATTAGTCTTAGAGAGAACCAGAATTACAAATGCATAGAATTTACCAAATCTACACTAGGAAGACTGTGTTTCCATAGTATTTTTGCTGCAGTTGTTGGACACATTCATTTTACACTAGTGTAGATTTAGTGGAAGCTCGAACCACTGCAAGGAAACATCCATTTTCCTGATGGGGTCTTCAAACATCTCTGCCAGCTGAGGAGCCTACATTCTGATTGTGGAGTGCCTTGGCCTATTGGATGAAAAGAAAGAAAGAAACAAAAGACACAAGCTGCTTTTTAGGACAAAAAAATCAGAATATATTTTTTATCTATTTGAAAAAAAGTCTGATATTTACCCCTGTTATCAACTGAATTTGCATATGGTTGTTTGCCACAATATCTGTTCTGTCTTAAAATAAATTTGCTTACTTGTGTAGTCTTAACAGTTTGGTTTCATTTTTACAATCTAATTTTACCTTAAAATATTAATTGGGAAGCATCCTTAAATTTTCAATCTTTTGGACGTTTTCCATTAAATGTCCTGGAAGAACATCTATCTATCTAGAAGGGAGAGAAACCTCATAAAGAGGTTAAGTCTTTGTATTTTTGCAATTATTTTTCTATTTGCTAATTTTATTTCCTCTTTTCCTGCCCTTCCAGTAGCTTTCATCGTTGAAATCATCTATATGGTAAGTGCTTAACAGAAGACTTGCTTTCTGGCATTATATTCATCAATGAAGAATTTTTTGTAGTTATTAAAGGAATTCTTCAAGATAAACAAATTCTAAGCTTAGTTCTGTTTATTGTTGTTTGCTCATTAATGGCAATGCAGTAATTGAGAATGGTATCAAGAAATAGCCTTGACCACAAGGCAGAAATTTTTGCAAAATACTCTCTTCATTAAAATGCAAATACAATACAAGTTGGTTTCCTGTAGCAACACACAAAAAGGAACATTACAATTGATGAATAAAGGAATCATCCACATATGAGAATGACTTGGTCTGGGGAAATTCCTGTGGTTCAGATGCTTCAGAGTATTCTGGCATTCCTTTAAAAGTCTGACCTTTCAATTACATATATTCTAGAGGGCCATGGAGATCAGAATGGTTAGCATCAAAAGCAAAAGTACCCAAGATATACTGTTTTAAAACCCTAAGTAATATTGAGATGGTTTTGTTTTGTGAATTATCATTTACCCAGGAATTTTGTTTCTGGACCATCTCTCCCAGGTCAGGAGCCATGTCTGCTGACCAGGCAGCAGATTATACCAGTTCAACAAACACAAACCAGTTGCCACTTTGGGTGGGAACAAACCAAAACTGAACCAAATATCAGAAAACATTTCCTCTGATTTCTTCCTTGTCAATAGCCAACACTTGGGATTTTAGGGAGCCCATGTTTTACTATGGTTGCAATGTCCATCCTTTTTCCCCATAGAATCTGTTTTTCTATTGCATCTCTTGGTTATAGGGCTAGTACATAGGCTTCCCACAGAACTCTCTCTTTCAAAGTGATACTTTAAAAAATCTAGCATAATCAGAATATTGAACCTGTTTTAGTATTTTCAGTTTTCACCATACAGGATCTTTATGCATAGGATCATAAAATGGGGACCCCAGGACATCATCTAGTCCAACCTCCATTCAAGGCAGGATCAGCTATGCCTAAATCATACTAGACAAGTGTTTTTTCTAACCCAGGCATTAGCAATATTTTGGAGCAGGGGGTCAGTATAACAGAGACAGACCTTAGCACAAGCTACTTTCAACCTGGCCTCTTCTGTCACAGCTGTAATTACTGCCCCCCACTCCACTGCAGTGCCACCACTGCAGTTTCTGCCTAACACCTAGCCACCACAGAGGTGAAGCCCTCC